ATACGATCCATCTAGCTAGTGCCGTCACTGAGATCCTATACCCACCTTCGGATTGCACCATCAGAAAAATGAGGTCATAGCAGTCATCTAGGTCTTTATGAGCCCTTTCAAATGAGCTCAAACACGATCGTTTTATCTAGTGTCGCTACTGAGATCCTATACCCACCTTCGGATTACACCATCAGAAAGGTGAGGTCATAACAGTCATCTAGGTCTTTATAAGTCCTTTCAAATGAGTTCAAACACGACCGTTCTATCTAGTGCCGCCACTGAGATCCTATATTCACTTCGGATTGCACCATCATAAAGGTGAGATCATAACAGTCACCTAAGTCTTTATGAGCCCTTTCAAATGAGTTCAAACACGACCGTTCTATCTAGTGCCGCCACTGAGATCCCATACCCACCTTCGGATTGCACCATCAAAAAGGTGAGGTCATAAGAGTCACCTAGGTTTTTATGCGCCCAATACTCAATACTCAATAACTTTATTGCATTCCATAGGTTACAAAAGGTGTTACATAGTTTTATGGTATCTCTATGGGCCCTGATGGGCGCAGCAATATTATGAAGGAGGAACATTTATTATTATAATTATTGCTATTTTTAAATAATTATTTAATATTAACATTTATTATGTTATTTAAACATTCACACATTGAATTTTAATTGATTTTGACATTTAAGGTATTATTGTAATTAGTATAATTAGCACAGTTGAATTTTTAATAAATTAATTAAATCATTTTAAATTTTATTTGAATTTTTTATTGTAATTTATTTACTAGGATGGCATTTCATTGTTACCTATTATATTTATATTTACATATCTATATTATATTAAATTATATTTTTATCTTCTAAAAATTCAGAAGTATTATAGTAACACTTGTTTATAAGTAGTTGCTTTAATTTTTTTACGAATTGTTTTTCGTCTTTAATGTTTTTTATATATTCGGGTAATTTATTATATATTTTTATAGTCATGGCGAATGGGCTGGAAGAATGAGATTTCAGTTTTGAAACTGGCAGCACTAGTTTGTTTCTCTGTCTTAGATTCCTAGATATGATGTCATCTCGTTTTGTGTAGAAGCTTGGATTTTTTTTGACAAAGTTCCAAAATATAGATACAGGGCAGGCTTAAAATGTTATACTTCTTGAAGTAAGACTTACAGCTTTCTGTGTTTTGTATATTAGCTATGATTCGAATTAGTTTTTTTTTTTTTTGTTTAGTTAATAAACTTTCAAATGCCCATTCAAATGAGTTCAAACGCGATCTTTCTATTTAGTGTCGTCACTGAGATCCTATACCCACCTTCGGAGTGCACCAACATAAAGGTGATATCATCACAGTCATCTAGGTCTCCATTTACCTATTTGAAAATGAGTCCAAACACGATGGTTCTACGTAGTAGCATCACTGAGATCAATGAATTGCGGTGCGGGTTTGAATCCCGCACGGAACAAGTATTTGTATGGCCTACAAATGATTGTTCCGGGTCTGGACGTTTGTCCTTGTGCAATTTGTGTTTGTAAGCTGCCTCCACGATACAGGAGAAAATCCTAGTGTGGGGGTAATGTTGTAATAATTATAAACAAATGTATAAAATAATATAAAATCTTAAAAAATGTTATAAAAAATTATCAAATATATATAAAAGCTACTAAGAAAGTATGTACTTACCAATAATGGAAACGAACAGAAGCCAGCGGATTACGGTGCGCCCGGAAAAATACGTGGGTTGCCATCAGTTAAAAATTTTAACTTAAGATTTCACATTCACGATCAGTTTTTGGATGTACGTCAGTTCAACGGGGCAGTTTAACTAACAGCACGCCCGAATAAAATCCGTGTGTTGCCTTCAGTTAAAAATTTCAACTTAAGATTTCACATTTACGGTCAGTTTTTGGATGTACGTCAGTTAAACTGATCAGTTTAACTGACCGTGAGGGGGTACCATATTACTTGAGAGATACATTGTGTTTTCATGCGATGGCCAAGTCAATCTATTTATTTAAAATATAAAAGATTTTTAGTATTGACTAGCTGTGCCCGCGGCGTAGCTCGCGTATACAGGTCTTACATAAAGAATTTGTCGTTTAGGTAAGAGAATATTAAACGATTTATTTCATTACTGTATCAATAAGTGGTAACTAAATAAATCATTATCATCAAAGTTCTAAGTCGTTTATGATAGAGCTTCTGTGTAAACGACGTTAGAAGTAGGCTTAGCCGGGGTGTACACAAAAAGGTTATGGGGGCTACTAACGCGGGAAAAAGCAACATAGAGTTGGCCATGTGCAAAACAGTCAGTACTGAGGTACACTCCTACAACGCGTAAAGTTTGACCTTGCGCTTTATTTACGGTCATCGCATAACATAAACTCACTGTAACTGGGAACTGAACGCGCTTAAAACTGAAAGGAAAGTTACTTCTTAATAGAGGGTTTTTGGGCAGTGCTGCCAGATAAAAAAAACTCATTCAGCTTTAGGACAACACAAAAAGCGCTAGATTTCATGAAAACAGCGCTTTAAAAAAGCCCTAGATTTCGCGCTAAATTAACTACAAACAAAGTTTGTGTATTTTTATATAATCATAATAAAGAAAACAACATTAAGTTTTTTTTCTGGCAATATTTTTTTGATGTATTAATACTTCGCAGGACATCGACTTATAATTATAGCAATTGCTGTCAACAGTAGTTAGTACTGTACGAACAATAAAAATGTCATTAATTGTTTTAAAGTGCAATGTATTTCGCAACTTAGTTTCAGATGTCAGCATCTGATTGCGGTTGCTACACAGTTTCTTTGTGTTATAACTTCTAAGTAACTTTTAACTTAGCTGTGCTCTAAGCAACTGACTGAAACTGAATAAAGCAAAATAAATGCGTTGCCAAAACCATGAACGAAAACTTTAATAAAGGGGATTTCCCCGCTTATAGTCGTCGGTAAAAAAATCAAGTTGATCATCCTAAAGGGGAAGCCAGGAGATCCATAGCACAGGGTATCCTAGTTTGGACTCGTCTCCCATGCTCTTTGCTTTGTGGAAAAAATATGTTTGAAAAAGATAAACTGCAATGTACTATTTGTGGGAAAAAATAATAAAGGTCATTATTATTATTATCGGTAATGTGGACTAACAGTGCTGCTATAAAAGAGTTAATAACCCGCTAGTCGCTAAAATATTGAAATGTGTGCTAAATACACCAAAAAGCGCTGGATTAAGCGCTAGATGCTAAAATTTCGAAATGCGCGCTATACATTCCAAAAAAGTGCTAAATCTAGTTCCCAACCGGTTAAATTGGCAGTTCTGATTTTGCGTATATTATAAATACAATATCACGACATTTCGTTGCGAAATTTTTATTTTTGGTCGGGTTCCGTTGTATGGCTTCGATGGATACAAATTTCTTCAGTAAGTCTCAATAGAAAGAAAGAAAGAAAGAAAGAAAGAAAGAAAGGTTTATTCTCCAAAATGACACCATCACAGATAACATAAAAAAGAAAACATAAATAATATTGGCTATACAATACAAATTACAATATACTACATAATACAAACTATACAATACCAATACTCATATGTGTCAAGGCGTCATCTACGATACGATACATCGGCGAAAAATCTCAACACAGCAATTCAGAAAAGTTTGTAATTTGTACAACTCCATCTATTACGTCCTTTGTGTGAGAAAACATCCTATCTCTTTTTGTGTTTTAAGTATGTAATATTAATTATTATGGAACGTTTTTTTTACACAGAAATCTTTTTATTACTATTTCTGAGATTTTATGGCGCCATTGAACAAATTCGAACCTACATTTCAAAATAATAATCATTACTTTCGATAGAATTAACCAATTTTAATAAAACATTGCATTGCATTTTCACAACACCACCATCTATCGAAGAAATGGGTTAACTATTGTGCTTCAGATTTAGTTAATAACGTTAATATATTTTTGTATAATATATTTAATATGTTCTTTATTACTTTTGTTTACTGCGTTTTAGATATATATAATTATATCATTATTTTACATAATTTAACTATGATTTATGATATGATATTAGTTTAAAATGCACTTGATGACTCAAACAAAGCCACTGTTGAGCAATTCGTACCTATACTTCCCTACCCATACTTCAGAATATTTATCATAACTTTTGATGGAATGAACTGATTTTAATGAAATAAAGACTAAATGTAACCCGAAGATACACTTTATAATTTCCTTAACAATTCTTATGATATAAATTAGTACTTTATACGTGATACGTTAACAAACAAACAGACAGACAGACAGACAGACAGAAAATTCTAAAAATGGTAGAAATGTATTTAATTACTTATTTTTAGTACCCCTTAATCACTTTTATTACAAAAATATTAAATGTACAGACATCTGCTATTTACAGTTTTATTATATGTATAGATGTGGTCACTATAATATGTTGTTAGGTTAGCTAATTACGTCATAATTTAAAACAGAAGGACCCTTAAGTAGGGACCGAATAAATTAACTGACTTGGTCATAGATTAATGATAAGTTCGATGACTTATCATTAATCTATGCGACTTAGTATTACATGGATCTCACAACTTTTTACGGTAGAACTGAGTTGCGAGACTTGGGTTTTTTTACAAGTTATGTTTTTGATAGCATTGTTTTATTACGGAACGCAATAAATAATAAACAAATAAATACGAGTTGAACTGATTTTAAAATCGTTGCAAAACATTAGCGAGCATGAGTTGAATAATTTCAAGTGCTTATCGAACTGCAAATATTAAATAACATGACAATAAATAAGAGGCTTTTAACACTGTATTTTCTAACAAGCAATTATAAAGTAGTATCAGTATCAGTAAAGTGCCATAACAAATATACCACGCTTTGTTATTTATTTACGAAGATAATATATAAATCATTAAGGTTGAGACATGAATGTCAGAGCTATTGATACTGTAGACGTTCGTAGGCTCGGTTCGCAATGAGTTTCACGGGCAAAGTAGTATTCATCAGTGGCGCGAGTTCTGGAATTGGCGCAGCAGCGGCAATTGAATTTGCTAAACAAGACGCTGATGTTGTAATTATTGGAAGAAACGAATCGAAAATGAAAAACGTATATAAACAATGTGAGGTGCATGGTAAGAAACCTTTAGTAATCAAGGCCGATATATCTAAAGACGAGGAAGCAAAAGCAGCAATTAACAAAACAATCGATAAATTTGGAAAACTCGATATACTGGTAAATAATGCGGGGATTATGAGGTTGGGAAGCATTCTAAATGGAAATTTATTAGAAAGTTATGATGAAGTAATGAGTACGAATCTGCGGGCGGTAATGCACCTTACCACCTTAGCTACTCCGTACTTAATTAAAACAAAAGGTAACATAATTAACATATCAAGTATTGCGGGTGAAATGATGCCGACTGTACCAGAATTCATGCCATATTTCGTCTCTAAAGCAGCACTTAACCATTTTACACGTTGTTCCGCGTCTGAACTAGCTGCTTATGGTATTCGAGTAAACTCTATTAGTCCTGGACCAGTAAAAACGGATTTCGGAGAAAATTCTGGCATCACCGATCTTTTAACTAACGCTAATTTTACTACGCCTCTTGATAGAGTGTCCGATGCTGTGGAAATAGCCGACTTGATTTTATATTTATCAAGCGACAAAGCAAAAGGGATCACTGGTTCCAATTACGTAACTGACAACGGTTGCCTTATAAAAAGTAAATGAAAAAAAAATTTGAAGAAAATTTTATAAGTATTTTGATTTTTATACTTTTAAATTAGTTTTGTTTTATAATTATTATTTTATTTCACATAATTTTTCATAAATTCACGTTTCAAATATTTTTACGTGTTTTCGTTCTTTCTAAACAGACCACTGCTGGACGCAGGCCTCTTTCAAAGTCGAAATGATTTGCTATTGCCATTTCGGGTATGGTTATGGTCGTTCAAACAAATGCTTCTACAAACTGAGAGAGTGAGGATTTATACGAACAAATGAAGAAGATAGGTGACTGGGCTGCAATTTTGTAATTGTGGAACTTCGGTGGGAAATATGCTTGGCTTCGGTTTGATGTTTGACCTTTGGTTTGAATGTACTGTCGTGTCAGTATCGAATTATTAACACGTATATTTTTATATTTATTTTTTTAGATTACATAAGATTACGATTATGAAAAAACATAACCCAATTGCGAAGCAACCCCCATCGACAAACGAATACCAGTTACACAATCGCACAGCTGATAATCGTACCATGTACCTGCATACTGTACTTATTTACGCATTGTACCGGCTTTGGTACTTAATAGGTAGTTAAAACGAGTTCCCGTCATCATTAGCAAATGATCTTTATGTTGTAGCACGAATGGGTTGGATAGAACGGGGAAGGACCACACTCTCACATAATACCAGCGTAAAATAGCAGCTTAACACTGCTGTGTTTCGTATGGTGAGTGTAGAGAACCGGAAACCCTTTTTATTGGTAAAGAGGCATTCCATCTTAGTCCTCACGGGTGACAACGCATCTGTATTTTGATTCTTTATTGAGGATAGATGTAGATGTCTATAGGTCACCAATTACCATCAGGTGGACTGTGTGCTCGTTTGTCACCCTTATTCTATAAAAATAAATGTTGTCAGATGCAAAATGCCTAGCCGGGCAACCGAAAACGACCAAAGGTACGAAACACCTGATAATGCGAACCTTTTTCCATCTACCAAATAAGACAACTACGTGTATGCCAAACCAAAAAATGGGAGAAATTCAGGTCTAGAATGAGAATTTTTACGGACTGATGAGAATGAACTCATGAAGGAATGATTAAGGTCTTTGGGCAATTCCGACTATCGCCTTGAAGCATGTTGCAGTTATATTATGGTTGTAGCTGCAACAAGGCTCTACAACCATGGCTCTAGTAGTTGACTGTCTCGTTGGTCTAGTGGTTGTAAGCGAGGCTGCTGATCATGTGGTCTCGGGTTCAAATCCCGGATCTGGAATAAACAGTTATTGACTTTTTCCATCAATAAATTCTCAGTATCTGCCCGGTATCAGAAAGTTGGCGGTGTCTCATCCCCGTGCCTCGGAAAGCGCGTAAAGCTGTTGGTCTTGCGGTAACGGTTTACCGTCCCATCGGACTATGAGAGTGAGGGAATAGAGTGCACCTATGTTTGCGCATACACTTGGGCGCTATAATCCTGTCCTGTGCCAGTGGCTAGTCTCTGATGCAGCAGCATGAATGGGTTGGCTCAATCGAGGAAGGACCCCGCTCTCACTGAATACCAGCGTTAAATAGCAACTCAATGCTGTTGTGTTTCGTATGGTGGGTGTAGAAAACCGGAGGTCCTTTTTACTGGATACGAGGCAGTCCATCTTAGTCCTCAAGATTGACAACGCATCTGCATTTTGATTCTTAATTGAGGATAGATGTAGATGTTTATAAGCCACAACATCCACTTACCATGAAATGGGCTGTGCGCTTGCATGTCACTTATTCTATGTAACTCTAATTCAAAATTTGAATTTCTTTAATTAATTATTAATATTTTTTTAATTTCCCTCTTATTTTCAAAGTATATTTTAGAATAAAATAAGCGGTAACGATTATTTATAAATTTTTAAATGGCAGTAATTTTTGAGCGCGTAGTTCGATTTTGACTTGCTTGGCGGCATTGGACGCAGTTTATTAGGTACAAAAAAGTGTTTCTGATCTAGTTTGAAAGTTATTTAAGAAAAACTCAAAACCATTTTATTTTTTGAATATTTTGTTTGTATTTTTTGAAAATTTTTAAAACATTTTCGAACGCCATGTCGTCCATCTCGGTCGGTTGATTTGTTCTAAAGATATCGAACGACAAAATTTTATTTACATACATACATGCATACACACACACACACACTAACACACACGGCCAGAGGTCCAGCCGGGATTAGTCGGATGAAATCTATAACTTCCTAATTTTCGAAATTATTATTTTAAAAGCGGGAAGTTAAAAAAGAACTTAACCTAGCTAATCATCCTAATAACATTTGACGTAAGTACCAATAACCGCTGTAATATTCACAACGGTAAAAAATAAAATTATATAAGTATTCTACAATCTGTAATCATCCCTCTGCGAGGTATTCCTTTCACATGTGAGCGGATACACATTTAAACTATATTATAGAATGTTATAATGTTAAGGGAAGGTTTTGGTGAGTATGAGCCTCTTCGTTTACGTGAACACTTGTCGCACTAAAATAACCCTACGCAAATGATAGACTCGAATAATATTTAGAAATTTTATCTGTATCAGGAGAACATGATCCCCATTTGTTCTTTTGAGATTACCACACGGAATATAAGAATGTCGCAACGTCTTTTCAAAACCTTTATCTAGAACTGAAACACCATACAACCTAATACCAAATTGATAAGAAAAGCCGTCCATACTCCATACTTGAATTGGGTTAGAATTTTAATATTGAATGGGATTAGCTGACTCGATTAGAAGGCGTGTGCATCAACTGTATCTCGCCAGCAACGCAAAGTCAGGAATTTGCATTTAGAAAAACCCAAAATTAGGGGCTTTTTAGGTGCTAATTAGGTACCAAGTTTAAAAATTAGTTGTGCTAAAATTTTCATCGTAACGAACTGTTGAAGTTCGCGTTGCTGGCAAAACGTATCGCTAGCAACGCAGTGACGATAATAGATATAGGACTATAAATATTAATAGCAACAAGGAATTAAGTGCTAATTATGTGCTGAAAGGTTATTGAGGTTGGATCTAGGTGACGGTAATATTCTGGGAATTATCGGGTCGAGGACCACCATTACCTTACTATAAGGTATGAACGGCATTTTTTGTTCTTTATCAGTTATATATTATAGATAAAATAGGTCGAATCTGTACTAAAACTGCATCAGAAAGCCCGACTCCACGTAGTCGTGTCTGCCCTACCCCTAGAGTGTTTTTGTAAAGCCGGATTGGTAAGGCGAAAAATCCATGTTGCTTCAAAAACGTGAAATCGCTCCCTGTAACATATGATGCACAATCTCGAGCTTGGATGACTGGCCTTCATTTTATTAACTGGTTAAAAGCTTTAGATGATCACTTCCAGATTAAATGTATATGTAGACGCATAATTCTCTTCATTGATAACTGCCCCGCTCACCCTAAAGATGTTGAACTAAAGAACATCACGCTTGTTTTCTTGCCTCCGAATGCGACAAGCAAGTTGCAACCAATGGATCAGGCCATTATATAAGTCGTTAAACAAGGCTACAGAACACGATTGATACATAGCTATCTTAAATAAATGCAAAAACCTGACAGCAAACGACCCTTGACTCTGCATGACGCGATCCTAAACATTGCAGCGGCATGGCAAGCAATTAAGCCTGAAGCCATACAAAATGGTTTCAAGAAAGTAGGTTTGCATAACGAAGCTGATGACGTGTTGGAAGAAGAACCCGCGATACTGCAGGGTTTTTCTGGATATTCTTCCATTGATTACAATGTTGCACACTACGAAACCTGTTCCATTGAAGATCTTATTCAAGATGTGAATAACACCCAAAAATTTGTAAATGATGTTTTATTTTTCTTATCCCGCATAATACGCTTTCCCGCTTAAGTCGCGATTTTGGCTAGGTCCCTTCAAAATCGTCTTAAGCGGGTTTTACTGTATTTGAATGTTATGTAAATAAATTAGTTTATTGTTTAAATCAAACCCAAGAACAAAATCTTCATATTTCAATAGATATTATATATAGTTTCACAGATTTAAAATTTAAAAGGGGTGTGTCGTTAAAACGATCTCGGATGTTGTTCGTGACAACGCGTAATAACCCCTGTACGATCGAAAAGGTAAAATTATAAATACAGTCGAATTGAGTACCTCCTCCTTTTTGAAGTCGGTAGAAAATATTATGGTTATTCAACATTGGCAAAAGTACAATCGTACGAGTTTACGACCAAATAAAAAAAGTCGGGAACATGCTGCTGTGCATCAACTATTTATCCTCTTATTAGTCTGCGTCTGTCAACTAGTGATGGGACTCGAGTGAATTTTTTTCACTAGAGTCACTCGCCAGTGATAGCATAGTCCTTAGTCACTCGAGTGCCACTCAAATGAAGATAAAACTCGAGTGACTTTTTTTCACTCGAGTTACTCGCCTGTCTAAAACTAATAACAGCATTGTTTTTATCGATTTGTAAAAGCTATATTATGTCTTGACTTATTTTGATTAGAGCTTAGGTTTTTTTTGTCTCTGCTTAGTAAACGATGCATTAGGCCATGCAAGCTGTAATTGCTGAAAACGCCGTTTCATTAATGTAGAATTGGAATCGGCAGACGTGGAAGCAGAACTCTTACCTTCAGTAGTTTAAGAACACGCATAAGATGAACTTGACTCACTCACCCCTAATATCCTTATACTGAATTCAGATTCATTCATAGAATAAACATCAGTGTTTATTCTACATGTTATGAGAAATCAAGTTGGTATACCCTGTACAACATAGCTTGATCTTTTTGACAGATGGGTCTAGTGATGGGAAACGGAAAATATCTAGTATTGCAAAAAAATAACGTTTTTATATAGGTACTTGTAACTGTGATGAGATGACATTCATCAATCAACTTTATTGCACTGGACACATAAAAACATTGGGTAGGTAAACGAAGATGAGTTATATTATTCATATAATATTGAGTTAAAATCAAAGTTAAAAAATAAAATAAAATTTTCTCTTTAAAACATAGTTTTTAATCGGGAAGAGAAGCACAACCAAGATTATCAACGTCGGAGTCGTCGTTGCTAAATCGATAAAAATGATTTTAATTATTGCTTCTTTGTAATCGATATTTGTAACATTTACTGCCTGTTATTTGTGTCCTATCTGACCGACCGATGTAACATTGCATGAGCGTCCATTGTTTTCAGTTTTTCTATCTAAATCTTACTTTGAAGCAATAAAAAAACACTAAGATTTTCGGAAAATGCTTGAATCTTTAATACTTATGTGTTGTGTGTCTATTTTTAAAATTTTAACAATTTTTAAAATTATTAAAATAAGAGAATATTATGTTCGTCATTGCGAAGTTATGTCGAGCGCAAATTTGACATCTGTCAAAAAGATCAAGCTATGTTGTACAGAGTAGAATATTCCCAGTCTTTGTAACTTTCTTGCACAACTTACAAATAACGGTTTTTGTTAAACATTTCTGTCGTAAAAAGTTCCAAACAAGCTATCAATCACTGAATTCGAACACACACTAATACTGAGCGAGTTGTTTGTTTTTAGTAATAAACATATTACTAAAAACAAACAACTCACTCAAACAAAGAACTTAATTTCAAATGGAAGACACATCAGATAAACCTGTCTTAACTTAAATTTCTCACTCGAGTCGATACAGGCCACTCGAGTGATTCGAGTCATTCGAGTTGACTCGAATCACTCATAATCCGAGTAGACATAAATAGTTCTCGAGTGCGAGTAAAATAAAAGCTACTCGATTGACTGAGACTGAGATTGAGACACGGCTTGAGTTCATCACTACTGTCAACTATAATCTATCAAATCATAATCAATTAAGAGGTTTTGGCGGGAACTCGACCGGCGGCGGCTTGCTGCTCCTGTATTATTGTTTAAATAATGGTTTGAAGTGGACTTTGATATGTAAGAGTGGTGCGATTTTGTGTATTAAGTGTCTGCGCATGTGAACTATTAGTGGAAACTGTGAAACAAGTGCTCTGATGGTGATGGATTCTCAAGATACCTAAGCTGTTTGTTTGCATAGGCGCCTTTAGATACCATCGCCAACTGTCAGCTGCCTGCTGGCTCAAGTTGCCGTCAAGATCTCCCAAGGCTGCACAATGTGACGCATCAACATATTGTGAAGCAGTGAAATATGAAGGATAATTATACATGAAGACAAGGCTGTATGGCATAGTTCCTTTGCCTGCTCTCTCGAGCGAATAATAAAAACAACAACAACAATAATCAATTGAATTGATTTTGTTTGATTGTCAACAAAAGGAATAAAAGTGGCCTTATTTTTTATTATTGATATTGAGAAATGTGTAAAATATTTAAACCTCTATCAAGTTATTGTTGTAGTTCTAACATTCATCGTTTTTATTAAACCTTTCAGTAGCTTTTTATATCAAAACAAAATGTCGCCTCGTAAACAGCCTAATAGCTTATTCAAAATCTGTGTTAAGAGTTGTATTTGTTTAATTAATTCCGCTTGTTATGTCATTGAAAAAAATTATCCCGAGAATGAGTTTGAAAAATTTGAGAGGCAGGCATTTTCTTTAAAATGCCATCTGATGTCTATGCTTCCAGCAAGGTAATTATGTTTTACCATTATGCTCATTATTAAATAATATGGAATTTGTTTTAGCGTGCAATATGTTTTCTTTTATATCATAGTTTGACATTATTATAATATATATTTCTTTTTTATATCCACAAAATGTATTTTTTATGAATATAGAGATGAGCATAGCATTTTAAACAACATTATGCTCTTCTTTAGTTAAATGAAAATATTCTATTAATTTATTTTGAACGGGGATGTATTATAATTGGAAATGTTTGAAAAACACTTCAAATATTTTGTCCGACTGTCTGTGTCCTTCAGTTTGGGGTAATTTTCTGACTGGCTGAACTGATTGTGGTATAACTTTACATAATATAAATATGCCATGAGTAGTGTTCCCAACCCTCCCTGATTGCAGATGAGACTGCAATAATAATGGTTAATCTCACAACCTCCCTTGGTGTAATAATTTCTCAGGATTTTCTAAAAGTTAATACCCATCCTTTGCTCGCACATGTTGCTACTGACTTGCTTCACGGTCACGCTGCCTGTAGATTTTCCCTAGCCTTTCAAAGACATGTGGCACAAACAAATGGTGATGTACCACTCAGCATTAACTGTCTTGCTCATCAAGTGGGATCATGCAGATAGGACCTGGCTGGGAGACAAAAACATAATCATTTTTTGTCTAGGCTTTTTCTCTGCCTCTACATTGTTAGTTTGTTGTCACCTATAAACACCCATACAGAATACTGTTGCTTTCTTTGCGGAATGTAACAATATATCCATTTTACATCTTCTGTCAGAAAATCATATAATATTATACTTATATATATTTTTTATGCCAATCAAATCGAGCCCTTTTTTATCCTGGGTGAAATTATGAGGAATCCAGTAGCACTTGTTGCTACTGGATTCCTCATAATTTGTTTTCTAACTATTGAATGTTGATGTAATTTTTTTTTATTTGGCTCATTCCAATAGCCAAATGTCCTCTAATCTTATAGATGATGCACCGGTTTTATTCAATTAGTGTATTTTATTCTATTCTTTATTGTACACACTATAAGATGATAACAAATTTTAAATATGTACTTAAATAAGATTTACAAAGGTGAGCTTAACCCTAAGAGTTCTCTTCCATCAAACCCTTTTCAAAAGAGAAATAGTGTTATAATATGTGAAGCAAGTTGCCTCACAGTAGCATCATTTCCATCCGCACACTCAACATTTTCACGAATTTCATGATGGAGAAAAACACTGTCACAATCAAATTCTGCGTACGCCTTACGGTGCTCCAATGTACTGCTTCCCTCCCAAAAACATTTTGCAGACGGGCAGTACAATCTTGCGGAGAGTGAACTTTCAAAATTTAATAAAAAATGATTGCCTAAAATATTTTTGCATTTTTTTTATGGAATAAGGGTGACAAACGAGCACACAGTCCACCTGATGGTAAGTGGTTGCTGTTGCCCATAGACATCTACATCTATCTTCGATTACGAATCAAAATGCAGATGCGTTGTCACCCGTGAGGACTAAGATGGAATGCCTCATTTCCAGTAAAAAGGGTATCCGGTTCTCTATACTCACCATACGAAACACAGCAGCGTTAAGCTGCTATTTTACGCTGGTATTCTGTGAAAGCGTGGTCCTTCCCCGGTCGAGCCGACCCATTTGTGCTACAACCATAATTCCATTTTGCATCAGATGACGGACTTTAACTTGTGATAAAAATCAATTAGCACAGGACTTTCCACCAAAAATTTGTCTAATCAATTTATGAGTTTCTTATATTTCAAAATTTCAAAAATTCCTAATTGCAACATTTATGAGTGGCCAAAAACAAAACTTTCAATGTGCTTATGTTTTTGTATGTACATATTGTCATACAGTATAATTTAATTATAGTTATTATTTTATCAATAAGTACCAGAAGCTTGAATGGTTTAAGGGTATGGATTGTTAAATAAAAATTCATGAATCCTAATCCGCCACTCAACTTCTACTGTAAAGCATTCCTAGCTTGAGCATTTTCAGCTGGGAGTGCTTAACGGAAAATATATTAAAAAATTAACATATTTCTTCACTTTCAGGTTATTTGATGTCCTCTGTTTAGAAAGAACATGTTGCCAGTACCGTGGCGACCCTCGAGTTCAGCTCCATGTCCTGACACACCCAAACATGACAGTCTTCCGCAAATGCGACCTAGATAATGGTATACCACAAAATTTCTGGATACAGAACCTCCCAAATTTCACTCGCTTAGTCGTTCTGGATCTTAAATTTGTCTGTACAGACGAAATCCTTCAAATTGTCGGCACCAATTGTCTGCTACTTGAAGAAATTAACATAGTCTCTAAGGTTGATATTTGCAAATCACTTATCAACGCTTCAGTTTTAATTAGGAATGTTTCAGACGCCGGTCTTTATTCTATAGCTAATTTGAAACAGTTACGCATACTCGCAATGGATCCACCTCGTAATGAGAGAGCAAGTCGGGTAGGTCGCTGTGTATCCCAAGCGGGTATTATAATGTTGGTGAGTGAGCTTCCATATTTAGAAGAGTTACGGATAGAATCTTGTGATATTGGCGCCACTTTAATAACAACAGTTGTAGACATCGGGCCGTTAAGTTTAAAAAAAATTAACTGCCACTTCGCTTCAGCTGAGGGTATTAAGAAATTAATCAAAATCTGCCCATATTTAAAGGAACTGTCCGTCACACACTTGTCGGCACATAACAAAGACGCGATTCTAGAACAGCTTTCTGTAAGTGATCTCCGATTGTCGAGGCTAGATTTATCTTTCTTTTCCTATTCGGATTCGATGCAGCAACTATTGTCTGTAAAAGGCAATTATTTGACACATTTCTCGTTATGGGAGATCGAACATTCTTTAACTTTAGAGGCAATTGTTTCGATAGGTGTATCTTGTCCCAATCTAATTACTCTCTGTCTCATGACACAGTCGAAGTTTTTGCTTACACCGCGATATTTTAGGAGACCAGAGAAAATATTCTGTCAACTCAGAAATTTAACTATAGGTAACGAAAATTACAATATCAGTAGTATTCTATCATTTTTCCTTGACTGTACGCAAAATTTGCAAAAATTAGTTTTAAAATATCAAACTAAAATGAATATCGACGATACTTTGCTACAGTTAATAGAGAAGGGTAGATTAAAAAATTTAAATTGTTTATGGTTGGACTGTACGTTAGAAGTCTCCAAGGAGGTAGTGAAGCAAATGATACAACACTGTGAGCAACTTCAAATGTTCACAGTAGATTTTAACGAGGATATGAGTGATGTACAGAGATACATTTGTGAAAACAATTTAGACTTAAAGCTAGGTAGTTACTAGCCCATATTTTGTATATATTATAGTTTATTTAAAGTACATATAAAATTATTTTTACGTAACGTCTTTCATTTCTATAAACCGTATAACCCAAAACCTATTCCCTACCCATTATATATACCGTTACAGCCAATCTAAAGTGCACTGCTTGCACTGAACATCGACTTATTGTCCCATATATTAAATTTAGGAGGATATTTTCCAAATTAGTCACTTGGCAAGCTGGTTAGCAACCGCGGTTTTTTATTTAATGTTATTAGGAAGACTGCTGCCCATCGCCTGATTTATTTCCCTCTGTCGCATCTTACGACACTCGCGGGACGATGTGGGGTTGTGGGGTAGTGAATATTCGCACACTGCAGGTACACAATTAAACCTATATTAAAATAAATTTTATCTGTGATTGTTACATAATTTCTATTATGAATCGTTATAAGTAGTAATTCTATATTTACGACGTCTGTTCAAAAAGTATCGCGAATTTTGTATTTTTTCAAAAGTATTTATTTATTCGTGAATATCTATTTTTACTCCTTCAAAGTAATCCCCCTCGGATATAATGCGCTTGTGCCAACGTTTTTTTCCTATCCTCGAAGCACTTAAAAAAACATTTTTCGTGATCTTCTTCAGCTCCTCCTTCGATGCTGTCTTTATCTCCTCAATCGTTCCTCTTCAGTTTTGGGACCATTGAAAAGTCACAGGCGGCCAGGTCTGGGGAATACGGTGGCTGTGGGACCATTACTGTGTTGTTTTTGGATAAATATTCGCGCACAAGCAACGATGTGTGAGCACGGGCGTTATCATAATGCAAAAGCCAGTTTATGTTCTTCCACAAAACCGGCCGTTTCTGGCGGATTGCTTCGCGCAAATTGCGCATAACTTGCAGGTAATATTCCTTATTTACTGTACTGTGGCAAGAATTTATGATGCACCGCGCCCTTGCAATCGAAGAAAACTGTGAGCAAAACCTTCACGTTCGACCGAACTTGGCGCGCTTTTTTCGGTCTTGGCTCATGCGGCAGCTTCCATTGGGATGATTGAGCTTTGTTTTCCACGTCATAACCCTAAACCCATGATTAGTCACCAGTTATGACCCTCTGGAGCACATTTGGGTCGTCACAGACCGAGTCCAACATCTCCTCAGCAATGATAACACGATACTGTCTTTGGTCGAAATTGAGCAATTTTGGCTTTATTACTTACAAGCCAAGTGATATGTTTAGGTCGTCAGCAACTTCTCATTTTGAACATTTTGTACCACCGATAAACGTTGCTTTGGTCCAAGGTAGCTTCGCCATATGCCACAGTCAATATTCAGAATGCGTCCGCGCACTTTATTTTGTTTTTCACACAAAATTTAATACAGATTCTTTGATCCATTTTTTCGAATAGGCAGAAATCGAAGAAGAGCCAAAACACATCCAGGCAAAACAGCTGTTCAAAATTAAGTAAACGTTCATAATGGTTAATGGCCGACCTTGTCACCATAAGTAAGGGACATGAGTACCAACATAAAGGTGGCTAATAACATGCCTGCCGCAGGGGCAATCTAGGGTGTAGGAGTGGGGATGACCATTAATTGCCTCCTTAATTGTCTTTTTTTTTATAGGATAAGGGTGACAAACGAGCACATAGTCCACCTGATGGTAAGTGGTTGCTGCGGCCCATAGACATCTACATCTATCCTCTGTTACAAATCAAAATGTAGATGCGTTGTCACCCGTGAGGACTAAGATGGAATGCCTCATTTCCAGTAAAAAGGGCCTCCGGCCACCTGCACTCACCAAGCGAAACGCAGAGGTAAACCTCTACTTCACGCTGGTTTTCTGTGAGGTCGTGGTACTACCCCGGTTCGAGCCGGCCCATCCGTGCGACAGCAAAAGCTGCCGCGTGGCTCTACCACTGTTAAAAAGGTTGTGATGTTTAGGCAAGCAGGGGCAACTTTTTAAGTCGGCAGGGCGGCAGGAGCGCAAATACCTTCCTTGCTCCACAGATCGGCCCTGCCGCTGACGCATGTGTAGCGCAATTGGGGCAATTTCAATCAGTTCGTTTGCACAGGTTACTACTATGAACAACACTGGGATTTGTTACCGAGTAGATCTACCTAACTTATCATAAGCACCAGTATGGGAAAGAAAGTATTCCAATAGTATTAGAATTGCTGGAATGTAAATAAAATGTCTTTAACTAAATAATTAAATAATAATACAAATTTTAGTAATTATATTTATTAAAACTCATCATTAGAAAACTATCCCGGCTATTTGTAACACTAGTTAAATTATAGTTAGTAAGCACTAGTTAAGTTAGTCACATTTAATTGTCTTTGATAGTCTAAAAATAGCGTGGTAGAGCTATGTTGCAGCTTATAAACACTACATTATGGTTGTAATTATTAATTAATTAGTTGTTTTATTGATAAATGTGGGTGTCTATGGGTCACGGTGTCCACGTACCATCAGGTGGCCTGTGCTCATTTGTCGCCCTTATTTTATATAAATAAGAGCCAAGGCTACATATGAAATTCCGCTCAACACAATAACTGCTCGGGGCAAACTGGGCAACAAGACCAAGGCGACCCCTGCCATGCTATCCGTGAATTTCTGCAACATCAGGGGACTTCACTCGAACCTAAACGCCGTCCACTACCATCTCGGGACGGCGAAGCCGACCTTGCTCTTTCTGACCGAGACGCAGGTGTCCTCTCCGGCTAATACTTCATATCTTTCCTACGCGGGGTACAAATTGGAGCACTCCTTTGTGCCTCGGGCTGGAGTTTGCGTATACGTCAGAGAGGACATCTGTTTTCGGCAGTCTTGAAGGTTCGGACCTGTCCATCCTTTGGCTACGCGTAGACAGCGACGACCATCCGCGCGTCTACGGGGGCCTCTATAGGTCCCATAGCGGTAATGCCGAAACAGACCGACTCATCGACCACGTCCAAATGCCTACAGATTCCTTGCTACAATAGGTCCCATCCGCAGAGATCGTGATCGTCAACCACGCCGCATGGCTCGGTTCACGTTTAACCGATCATGCGGGGAGATCTGTTTACGACTGCTTTGGCATATATTGCCTGACAATATGGTCTGACACAACTGGTTACATCGCCTACGCGGATTCCAGATGTGGAGGTTCATACACCTTCCTTGTTGGACCTTCTGCTGACCTCTCATCCGGACGGATATCAGGTTTCCGTCGATGCCCCTCTTGGCTCTTCGGACCATTGTCTGATCCGGAGTGTGGTGCCACTCACGCTCCCCTCGCGGTTGCGTTCTGCAGGTTGCCGCCGTGTTTGGCATTACAGGTCGGCGGATTGAAACGGAATGCGGTCTTTCTTTGCTTCCTACTCATGGCTTGGGTTTACTTCTCGCCCGATGATCCCAGCGCTGTTGCTGACTCTGTCACTGATGTGGTGCTACAGGGAATGGAACTATTTATTCCATCATCTGTGGTACCCATCGGAGTCAGATCTCAGCCTTGGTTTGGTCGCTCCTGTAAGACTGCATTACGCAGTAAGCAGGAGTATTATCAAGCCTGGGCTGCGGCTTCGGCGACTCGGGATGTAAACACCAGCATACTTAAAAAGAAGTATAACTTGGCCTCCAGGTCCTTCAAAAGAGTTATTTCCAAGGCAAAGTCAGGGCACATAGGCAGAATTGGCGAGAAACTAGTTCGCCTTCCTTCGGGAACCCGTGCATTTTGTTCTCTCGCCAAGGCTGTCCAAGGGAATTTCTATCAGCCATCACTACCATCCCTTTTTGCGTCCAACTCGACTCTTGATGACGAGGGGAACACACCGCCGACCATCCCGCGGTGTGAGTGCTCCATGCCGGATGTGCGGTTCTCACAGCGCTCGGTTCGTAGAGCACTCCTCTCCCTGGACATCCACAAGTCGAGTGGGCCTGACGGAATCCCCCCAATTGTACTGAGGACGTGTGCTCCGGAGTTGGCATCGGTTCTAACGCGTCTTTTCCGGTACTCCTACTCCCTAGGCGTAGTCCCAAAATCATGGAAGACAGCTTTTGTTTTTATAAATTTTATGTTATAAATAATTTTCCATGTAAAAAATAATATGTCGCAAATAAAAATAACTGTCACTCAGAGTCGGCCAACTCGTGTGTGTAAGTACACTCGGCGACACATCAAGCCCGTACGGGAAATTGAAACAAAGCGAGGCCATGTTATAATGGAAATGTATAGCTTGATGTGTCGCCGAGTGTACTTACACACACGAGTTGGCCGACTCTGAGTGACAGTTATTTTTATTTGCGACATATTATTTTTTGCACCCGATCCCTAAAAAAGGCGACCGCTCAGAACCGTCCAACTACAGGCCTATCGCCATCACCCCTTTGTTCTCCAAAATAATGGAATCCGTTATAAACTGCCACCTCATGTGGTACCTTGAGGATCACCAGCTGATTAGTGACCGCCAATACGGTTTTCGTTGGGGTCGATCAGCTGGTGATCTTCTGGTTTACTTGACTTATAGATGGGCGGAGGCAGTAGAGTCCAAGGGGGAGGCATTGGCCGTTAGTTTGGACATTGCGAAGGCCTTCGATCGGATTTGGCACAAAGCGCTTCTTTCGAAGCTCCCTTCCTATGGACTTCCCGAGAAATTGTGCAATTGGATCACCAGCTTTCTTGCAGATCGGAGCATCAAGGTCGTTGTAGACGGTGCATGCTCCGACTACAAGCCTATTAACGCTGGTGTTCCACAAGGCTGCGTGCTATCACCAACGCTGTTTCTTCTGCATATCAATTATATGTTGCAAACTGGTAGCATTCATTGTTATGCGGATGACAGCACTGGTGATGCTCTATACACCGGCCGTGCCAATATTTCTTGGGAAAACGTTGCCGAGTACCGGAACAAACTTGTGTCTGAAGTCGAGTCTTTGCTGGACAAAGTCTCGGATTGGGGGCGACTAAATCTAGTCCAGTTTAATCCTCAGAAGACACAAGTTTGCGCGTTTACCGCTGAAAAGAACCCCTTTGTCGCATCTCCTCAGTTTCAAGGTACTCCCCTGGTTGCCTCAGCCAGTATCGGAAT